AACACACCTGATTCAAATGACTAAATTACCTCTTCATGTATTACAGTTCTACAAAATCATGTTAAAGGTGTTTTGTAGTTTCAGAGAAGTTCATCTAATAGTCGAGATATGTGGGCTGAAAGCTGCTCTGATTATAAACTTTTAACAAACGTGAAAATAGCCCTTTTAGTCTAATCGCATACCAGCTTCAGTGTGACTAATGCCAGGAATTTGCAGAGGGAAGTTTCCTGTGAATTTCTGAGCTGTTCGTGACAAACCAGTGTTAACTGCCTGCATGTGTAGCTGTTGTTTTCCTCGTAGTGAGGCGTGGCCTGCCCAGCGTCTCCACCTCCCCTCTGCAGCTCTGAAACCTGATCCAGCTGTGTTGTTCACTGCAGGAAGCCGGTGCCATGCTGCCTTTGGTTGTGTTGACGTTGAGCCTCAGCGCGGTCCTGTCGGCCCCCAGTCTGGACCCACAGCTGGACGAGCACTGGAACCTGTGGAAGAGCTGGCACAGTAAAAAATACCATGAGGTAGGGTGTTTTTAAGGCGTTTGTTGTGTTTTTATCTCCAGAATGAAAAATAAAAACGTGGATTTTTGTTTTCCAAAGAGAGAGGAGGGCTGGAGGCGGATGGTGTGGGAGAAAAACCTGAAGAAGATCGAGATGCACAACCTGGAGCACTCCATGGGGAAACACTCCTACCTCCTGGGCATGAACCACTTCGGAGACATGGTGAGGCACAGATGTTGGGTTTTATAACGTGCTGAACTCATGCGCAGCCTAAAAAGTGTTTATTTTTGCTTAAGCACAGACTTTGAAAAAAATTAATCAAAACAACCTCATAACAAATTGCATATAAACTGTTGCAATTAAATTGTTTGAGACCATTTTCAACTGAAATAATTGATCATTTTAACACTGGAACAAAGTCTGTCACAAAAAGCAGTTAATCATGATAAAATGAGCTCCATCTTTTTTTTTTTTTTTTTGAAGGGCAGTTTTGTTTAGGACATCACAATGCATTTTATTTATGGTTTTGGGTGTTGTGGCGTTTCCACCTTATTGTGGAAATAAAACTTATACTGGGACAATTTATCGGCTGGCCGAACTGAAAACATTCTGAATGTCTAAAATAATAAAAACGACAATTTGCATCTCAAGAAATATAAATTCTTCATCTTGGACAAAGAAAACAGGCAAAAGTGCAGAATTTTTCAAAAATATTTAGTGATTGTTCAAATAGAAATGATCAAGCTTGTTTTTTTTTTTTTGGTTTTTTTTTATTGCTTCACTGTAGAATAATTGATTTGTCAATAAAACGAAGCCTCTGCCTTCTCAGGCTTCAGGTTCACGCTGCATGTTTCACTCTGACTTTTCCTCACAGACTCATGAGGAGTTCAGGCAGATCATGAATGGCTACAAACACAACGCGAACAGGAAGGTGAAGGGGTCGCTGTTCCTGGAGCCCAGCTTCCTGGTGGCTCCACGTTCGCTGGACTGGAGGGAGCAGGGCTACGTCACCCCCATAAAGGACCAGGTAACTACTAATGTTTTTAAATTCAGCTCATTTTCTCCTGCAAACGGGTTTGGATGTTTAAAAATGGAATATTTTATTAAGATGCCATTTAGTCATCTAAAGTTGTTTGAAACTCTCAATGTTTGCAGGGTAATGTAGGCAGCTTATAGTTTGTAGAAATGATAAAACGGTCGCAGTTGGCCTTTTCCTTTAAACGCTGCAGCGTCTTGGCCAGTAAAAAGACTCTTTACTCTTTACAGAGGACGGAGTAAAAAGACTCTTTACTCTTTACAGAGGACGGAGTAAAGAGACTCTGTCCTCTGAAGTTTGGCCTGCAGGCGGCGATAAGGCGGCCGTTTGGGTGGTGTGTGGATTATCTTTATGCTGCAGTCTTTGCTGCACAGCTTGTTCTCCCAACCCCACTGCATACACTGACAGGGTTTGCAGAAACAAACTGACTAGCGCCACGGCAACCAGGTGTAGGCAACATTGTACACCCAAGTTTTTTTTTTTTTTTTAAACATGGTCATAGTGAAACAAAAGGCGCTAAAAGCTAGCACACAGCGCTAACAGACCCAAAATGGACAATGCTAGCAAAGCAAAACGGCCAGGATGTCGGTTGGGGTTTTAGTCTACAGTGTTTCGACTGTTTCACAGTTTTCTAGTTTATTCCATTGCCCTGTGACAGACTGGCAGCCTGTCCAGGTGACCCCGCCTGAAACGTTCCCTGGAGATGGGCACCAGCAGCCCTCCTGACCCCACGAGGGACAGGGAGTTAGAAAATGGATGGATAGTTTATTCCAGATGTGTAGTAAATCCTCTGACCTGTGAAGACACTGCTGCAGTAACCTGTGATTTAAAGATAAACACCTGGATGAGTTTCTGTAAATGTTACCGAGACATCAGTCCTCTAATCCTGGAAATGTCCTTCAGCTGTTGGAAGCCAGACTTTCTAACTGTCTTTATGTGGCTCTGAAGGTTCAGGTCAGAGTTCATCCTGATCTTTAGTTTCCAGCTATAACAACTGAAGCTGTGACTCTGGATCGTTTCTCTTTAAATCTAAAGAGGTCTGTCCTGACATCTTCCTCCTGCTCCTCTTCCTCTCCCTCAGGGTCAGTGTGGCTCCTGCTGGGCCTTCAGCGCCACCGGTGCCCTGGAGGGCCAGGAGTACAAGAAGACGGGCCAGCTGGTGTCGCTGAGCGAGCAGAACCTGGTGGACTGCTCCAAAGACGAGGGCAACGAAGGCTGTAACGGCGGCCTGATGGACCAGGCCTTCCAGTACGTCAAGGACAACAAAGGCCTGGACTCGGAGGACTCGTACCCCTACCAGGGAACGGTACGCCTCCGCTCCCACTAAAACCATGACAACTGGCTCATTTAGTTTTTGAGTGTTTTTTGCCAGTGGTTTTCTTGGCAGCCATCTTGTGTTGCAGCTTCTATTTATTTGGACTCAATATCTATTTAATTTTGTAATGAGATTTCATAATATATTATTTAATGTTTCTGCTGTGTATTTTTGGTCAATTTGTTTTGGATATTTAAAATGTTCCATTTCCAGAGTTAAGTGTTGCAAAATTAAAGTTTATTGGTCTTTGAGAGATCAAACTTGCATTATTACACAATAAGAAATGAATTAAATGAAAATGGTCTTAAAAGAACAATATTTATTGCAATTACTGGGATAATTTATCATGATTCAGGTCAACTCTATAAACAAATATTAGGATTTCCTTTTTTTTTTCATTACGAGAATAAAGTGGTAATGAGAATTTGAGCATCTGAAGTTCTACTTTAACTCTTAGGTGGGTCAAAATGGCAAATTTTTGTCCCTTCCTGCGCCACATCCTCACGTTGCTCTGCGTTTCAGGATGGCCAGTGCCACTACGACCCCAAGTTCAGTGCCGCCAACGACACCGGCTTCGTGGACATCCCCAGCGGCAGTGAGCGCGCTCTGATGAAGGCTGTGGCCGCCGTCGGACCCATCTCCGTGGCGATAGACGCCGGTCATGAGTCCTTCCAGTTCTACAAGTCAGGTCAGTCTGGTGTTAGCATGAGAAGCTACGCTAACAGGTCTGGATCTCACCGCTTGACTGGTCTTAATATGTTAATTTATTTTAGGGATCTACTATGAGAAGGAGTGCAGCAGCGAGGAGCTGGACCACGGCGTCCTGGTGGTGGGATACGGTTTCCAGGGACAAGACGTGGATGGCAAGAAGTACTGGATCGTCAAGAACAGGTCCGATTAGTCGATCATTGAAACAATCAACTAATTTAGTAATCGACTTAATTGTAAACTGGCTCAAAAAATGACCAGTTGTTAGAACACATATTTTCTACCTAGAACTCAAATTGCAGTTTTGGCTTCAACTGGGTCACATTCTGTAAAAGTAAATTTTTTACAGGCCACTTCAAATCGAGTAAATTTACTTGATTTAAATTTACTTCTGTGCTCCATAAGTTAAATTGAAAGAAAAACAAAACACTTTTTTAGATCTCAGTAATTTTGTAAAAAAGACTTGGAAGATTCTGAGTTTCACAAGTCAAAAATTTGCAAGAAAAATCTTAAGGTTAATCTTGAATTTTCTAGAAATAACTTGGAATAGTGGAGTTTAAAAGTAAAACTGTTGTTTTTTTTGGGGTGGGGTTTCCTGGCAAATTTCCACTTTTCTAAAATGTTCTGGTTTTCCTGTAAAGTTTGAGATCAATCTAAAAAAAACTGTTTTGGCAGAAATTTACACTTTTTCTGTCTGCAGTGACCTTAATACGCTGTTCGTTTTCAACAAATGATCAGCTCTACATTAAGTCAGGCAGAAATGGCTGACCTTCTGGGAAGAAATTTCATTCTTTTTATTTTTTAAAATGAAAAATCTGTAGCCTGCCAATTAATCATTGGTAGCTCTACGTTTGCTGAACATTCAACCCGACTGGATAAACTTGAACTGTTTGACTGATTTTGTTTTTCTTTCTCTTGCAGCTGGGGTGAAGGCTGGGGCGACAAAGGCTACGTCTACATGGCCAAAGACAGGAAGAACCACTGCGGCATCGCCACGGCAGCCAGCTACCCGCTGGTGTGACGGCTGCACGCCGCATCATCAGGGTTTTTATTGAAACAGTTTGGCTGAAGACGAAGCTTCGGTCGGACAGAAGCAGCAGCAGGAGATTCTGCTGCGTTTCAGGAGGAGGAAACTCGTAATTTTAGGGAAAAGGAGCCGTTTTATGGCCTGGTTCTACGCCACTTTATTTTAATTTTCTGTCTTAAAAATTGTAGTTTTATTCTCTGTAAATATGTCTGTGCTACTCTGGAAGTGATTTAATACTTGCTTTGGTCATCATTGTAAACAGATTTTCTTTTGTTTTATCATGATCAATTAAAGATGTGAAACACTAAAATTCTTGTGCTTTTCAATTTTTTTTTTTATTTTTTTTTTAAGAATAGACAGTCTTGTATGTTTGCATACACCCAGATTATTTAGCGGTTATTTCTGTGGTTTACAGTCCTTATGATGGGTGACTGCTGGACAAATGAGGTATTGTGAACGCTAGTGGTGCCCAAGCATTTCTGTGAGGGTCAAGACTGGGTTGAAAGCAAGTAGGGCTCAAATTTTTAAGATAAAAATTCTAAACATTTACTTTTATCTACTCAAACTAAACTTGCAAGATTGAAATGAACCAAATAGTCAAATATTGGCAGGAAAAATTGACACCTAATAACACAGGAAAGACAAAAGGGTTAGAGTCTGAATACTTGTGAGAACAGACAGAGATGTGCTTTCAGTTACAAATCCCCTACCGCTCTGAAAGCACATTTGCCTCCTCTCTTTTTATTGTCTTTAGGATCCCTGATCAGAGAGCGCTGTAACTCTAAAGGGAGGGGGAAAAACACTTCACAAGTTACAGCGACAATGATTATCACTAACACAATCTATCATAACCTAGATTCCCCAGTTCCTGACACGGGGTCAAACAGCAAGTTGTACATCTTCATGGTGTTGATGGTTTTACAGCTAAGAGGTTGTTGAGAAAAAAATGATTATTTTTAGTGTTTAANCTGGTTTCGCTGAGCGAACAGAACTTGATGGACTGCTCTAGATATCTGGGCAACAAGGGCTGTAACGGTGGTATGGAAAAGTTGGCGTTTCAGTATGTTCATGAAAATGGTGGTCTGGACTCTGAAGAATCGTACCCGTACCAGGCAAAGGTACGTTAATACAGTTACAGATGAAAAAAAAAAAGCTATGGATCACGTCACCTCTTTAAGTTCATCCAACATTAAATTCAGCTTCTCTTCTTTGACCTTCAGGACAACCTGCATTGCTTCTACAATGCGTCCTACAACGCCATCATGGTTGACGGCTACGCTTCCATTCCCAGTGGCAGCGAGGAAGACCTGATGGAGGCCGTCGCCACCATGGGGCCAATTTCTGTTGCTATAGATGCCAGTCATGATTCCTTCCAGTTTTACCAGTCAGGTAAGTCTGCTCTAAATTGGTGTTTTTCAAAGTGAGAAAAAATGGAAAATTCAATGTTTCTAAATAGTTTGTAGCATTGTCTGTGGGTTTGCAAAGGGGAACCTGGGCAGCCATGTTATCAAAACTTTTGGGAACCCCTTTTCTAAATTTTTGCCCGGGGCGTCCACAATGTTTACTATGTTGGCCAAATTTGACCAGCTAAAGCTACTCTTCAGCCTGAAAATATACTTTTGAACTGAATGTAACAACATTGTTACATTGGTTTACAATGTAAGAATATCATTTACAGTTTAACATGGATTTACAATGTAATGCTTTTGTTTTGTTACAGTTTAACATAAGTGTAACAATGTAATCTTTACGATGTGATACATTTACATTGAAACACTAGTATTGTTACATTATAAGTCAATGTAACATAAGTGTTACTTTTGCATTGTGAAACATTTACATTGCTACATTAATTTACAATCTATAACTTTTACAGTGTAACACATTGTCATTGGAAACATGATTTCTGATGGACGTGAACACGAGGCTCCCTCTGAATCTGATCCCATTAGCTGTCAGGTTTTATAACATGACTCTCTGTATTTTAGGCGTCTACTATGAAGAGAACTGCAGCACTGAGTGGCTGAATCATGCCGTCCTCCTGGTGGGTTACAGCTACTCTGATCAGGATTACTGGATCGTGAAGAACAGGTCAGCAACATCTATAACATTACTTCCTTTAACGATTAATTTCTGAATCTCATATTTTAAGGTGTATTATTCCTTTAGCAACTGTTTATTTTCACCAGAAGTCATTCAGATATGAATTTTTTTCTTTGCAGCTGGAGTGAAAACTGGGGCAACAACGGCTACATCCACATGGCTAAAGACAGGAATAACAACTGTGGCATTGCAACAGATGCCAGTTTTCCTGTCATCCTCTAAACAACATTTCCTTTTACTCCTGAGGGCAAAAGAATGAAAATAAAGTCTCAAAGTTGTGCTTTTTAATTAACAGGAGATTGTGCAATGATTTATGCAAACACGTTCATGTATATAATATATGCATGATTTATGTAACCATGCATACATTATATAGTTCTGCTGCTTACTGACTTTCTAACACTTGCTGGTTTTATGATCATTTCCAGCTTTTGCAGTAATCAATAAAAGACCTGAAACCCTTGTTATATCAACCAGTCCAGTTTTTGTCCAGCACATTTCAACAACAAGGCAGTTCAAAGTGCTTTGCATTAAGTGGGTGTCTTAAATCTGACACAGTAACAGAAGTCACACTTTTCAGTCAGTGTCTCCAGAGACTAGCTGAGCTTGCAGTAACATGTATCTGCACAAAGACAGGCTGAAGAAAATACAAAATTGTAGAATTATGTTTTTCTTGTACACCTCACTGAATAGATAGGTGTACAAGATTTTACATCATTTTTAGAGTAATGTAGCAGTGCTGTTTCTTCTGGGTTAAATAACTTCTTGTTAATTAAACTAAGCATTAAGGCTTAAGTTAAAGAAAATGCTTTTCATTTTGTTTATATATTTCTCCTCAAGTTAGTTGCAGAAATTAGGTAAATAATGCAAAACGCCATCAAATAAAAGTATTTCACTAAACCCTAAAATTGTTTGAATTTTCTATTAACCTATGTAACAAAGTGGACATAAAATGCTTTCATTCCCATTCAAAGAAACCTTTATTAAAGAACAAGTGAGAAAATAAATAATGAAAACTGGAACAGCTTAGGAGGAACAGCTTATCCTGCTCTCTCTCATCCTGACTGATAACTTTGCCTGAGAGTTATTTTAAAGTCACAGGTTTTATAGTTATACTTACATTGTTAACATCATAAATGTATTACTTTAAACCTAGATTGGGGTTCGTTTTGCTCACCTGAGCCAGCAGGTGTCATGGCTTCCCAAATCATCACTGACTGTAGAAACTTCACTTTCGATTCCAAGCAACGTGGGCTCTGGGCCTCTTCAGACTCTGGGATCTTGATTACCAAATTAAATTGCTGTTGACCATTTTTCTCCCACACTTTTTCCTTCCACCTAACTTTCCAGTATGTTTGGATACACCCAGATTCTTTAGTGGTGATATTTCTGTGGTTTACCATTCTTTCAGACGGTGTCAGTGACTGCAATACAAATATGAGGAATTGTGAACGCTAATGGTGCCCAAACATTTCCATGAGTGCCAAGACTGACGAGTTGAAAGCAATTAGGGCTCAAGTTTTTAAATAAAAATTCTAAACAGTTATTTTTATTTACACAAACTAAACTTGCAAGATTTTATTGAAATGAACCAAATAGTAAAATATTAACAGAAAAGGTGATGTGTAAATCTTGGATCTTAAACATAAGATTACACTTCTTACGTTTTTGGGATTGTTTTGTTTCAATTTAGACTTTTTTATTATTATTATTTTTGAAATAATGCATGTTTTGCAAAGGATATGCTTCAATATAAGATAAATTAGCTCCATACTAGGTGAAATGTGCTGATATTTTTAGATTTTTATAAATATAAACAATACAGGGGAGCCTGATATCTGCGGATTAGAAACCATCGCTCACGAAAACGAGTAGTTAAAAATAGTTAAAATACTTCCGACCACCTCTGAAAATGTTGAAAACT